ACAAAAATAAAGTATTTGTCGAACTAAATGGAAGCCTTCTTTACTCAAAATAATCGCACGTTTTTTGACAACACTGGTTTTTGGAGTTAATAAGTATTTGTATAATGTCTCGAATCGTTCGATGTTTGCGATTTTAACGGGTACGTTTCCATTGACTACATTGAGCAAACATTCACAAACAAGTGTTATGATCTCACGATTTGAAGTTTTTCTAATTAATCTTCTTAGCTGGTCAGGTTTCAGTTGTACCATATGCCGCAGAATAGATAAGTTTTTCTTTTTCATTTGTGATTGGAGTAGTTTCTGCTTCAGATAAGGGTAAATAAAAAACTGTTGGCCCAGGTGGTGTGATATTTGAACAATATCTCAAACAATCTGATGTACGGGGGTCCAAGTCGATTAGAAGATGTCCAAAAGAGTCTCTGGTAGCTAATTCGTAACAGTTTCTCAAAAATTTTGATACATTCAATTGTCTTCCTAATAGATCTAGTTGCTGAACGTCGCGAGGCGATTTGAACAGAATGATGTGTGAAGTGTTCAAATCAATCGTACGCGACCATCGACTTTGTTGAAACAAGTTATGCTTAACATATATTACATCTATCCCTCTATGTCTACCCGCTGTCGCTAACCTAACAAATTCCTTGTCATTATAGATGTCTTCACATGAATCATCGAAAACTAGAAGAACATTTTCTAATTTTCTCACAGATTCGAATCCGTCGAATTTCATGAACTCCATATTCACTTCGCGAGAAGACACTTTTTCTGAGAATGCAGGTTGCATCTCTTTGTAAAGATATAGAACGGTTCCAAATTTAGGGTAAAAAGTATTTCCCATCAGAAGTTTCAAAATTAACTCAGTTTTCCCGGATCCTGAAGGTCCCACTATCGCCATAAAAATTCTTGTCGAGGTATCAATCACTTTATTCATATTCTTGGGTTTGGTAGTACGTAACCAACCAAGCCTGATAAAATCGAGAACCAAACTGACGTTTCTTCGCAACTTAATTTAGTGAAAGAAAGTTTGAGAATGCAGAAAGTTAGTAAAATTAGAATTACTACCATTTGCGCAACAAAAACTACTTCAGACCTTGGCAAAGTTACATTGTTACAAAACTTCCATGATTTTTTTTCACTGTTTGTCTCGTTATAAACAAACTCTGTTACTAATGTTGCGTCAGGTTCATCTACTGCTGTTGTTGCTTCTGACATTTGAGAAACTATTTATTCTACAGACTGCGTTAGACTTTTTCTCTCTGCGAATGAAGCTTGTAAAAAATTAAATTACTTTTGAGAACAGTAAAAAATGTGTGAAATCTCTATCATTTATGTCATGCATTTCTAAAACAAAGTTTGCTGGGATATTTGCGGTTTTTTTGTAGTACATTATTTTCTTCACAGTATCCTCTTTCACAATCGTCTTAATCTCATCTGGCAATTCACTGCTGTTTAGATCCATCTGAACTCCTGGCTGACGTTTGGGTACTAAGACTAGTTCGGGAAGACATACTCCTCGCTTGCTGGCTAACATTTCTGATAAACTTGAATCTCTGGAAGTATACAAATTGATCAATAACTGGAAAAAACCTCTTCAACGTAGACAACTCTTCTTCGGAAATTATTATTTGCTCCTTCCTCTGAACAATTTGGCCACTGCAATCAATACGCTCTATTCTCGTTAATGAAATTTTAATATCACCCTCTGGAGTCATCCACGCACAAAGCATTGAATTTTGTGATAGGTATGTCTCCACTTTCGCTGATCTCTCGCTGTTGTTCATTTTTCAACCAATCATAAAAAACCTTGGTTTTCTTCAAGGCACAATGATTCCTGGAGTTGTAATGTGGAATATGTTTATTGCAACTTGGATAATTTTTAAAATATAAGTTTTCAACCCGAGGACAGCCCAAATCATCTAGGTTTTCAATCTTTCGGTCCAAGTACTTGGCCAAAAATTCTGTCTTTTCTTTTCCTTTAGCGTAAAAAACGGCACCAGGATTTCTCAGCACAAAACTCTGAAGTATTTGATTCAAGTTTATATAAAGATAATCACCGTTTTCCCAATGGAGACCGTGTAAATAATTAGTTAACCAGTTGTAAGCTTTTTGTTCAAGCTTTGGTAGTATATTGAAATTCACTGGAGGTAGGAAAATGAGTCGATCGCTGTAGTCTGAAGTTGTTATTGCTAATTCTTTAACCACAAAGGCGTTTTTCTTGTAACGAAAGCCTTCCACGTCAAGCACAACTGATCTCTCGCCTAGCATTCTAGTAAATGATAAACTTCTGGTTTTTTCAACTTAATGAAAAGGCAGAACGCTATTCCACTCAAATGTCCCAATAAGCTGTTGTTACAGTTCCAGGGCAACATGTAACAGTACGTGGGACCCTGTTGATAAAATTCGTGTATAAATCCGGCCGCATCGTGCAAAATAGCGTGCAATCGTAAAATTTTGGAATTTTTCAAATATTTGTCCAAGGAAGAGTTATCAATACCAATCAAGCCACCATAAGGTCTCAACTTAATTAAAATGTCGTAGTTAAGGTTATCAGAACTAACAAAAAACAGAGAACATGCAGCTAGAAAATAGTTGCGTCGGTTAGAATTATCAGGATAAGTTTGTTTCAAAGACGTATAAATTTCGTGAATTATTTTCAAATCAATAGGAGTTACTCTGCTTTTTTGCAATTTCATTATTTATTTTTTCCAACACCTCTCCAACCTGCTGAATTTCAAGCCAGTGGAAATAAAAGTGACCTTGCAAATACCATTTAGACTCATTAAGATAACGGTGGTAAATAATTAAATAAACCACCGGAAGTTTTTTGTATTTTGATAGCTTGTTGAAACATAGACGGATTTTTCTCTCCAAGTCTTTATCAACCCATAATGAGTTAAAGTCAAACGAATAGTCGAAAACGTTTTCATAATCAGCAATATTCAAATCGCTCACAGTGCCATACTTTTGTTTTGTAGAAATGCACCAAGAGATTTGTTGAAGCTCACTCAAATAAAATTGTTCTTTGAAAATCAACTCGTATTCTTTCTTTGAAATTTCCTTTGCCCTTTCGAGGAAGACGACGTAGCGTTCATTACATAATTTGAAAAATGAGTTTTTTTCTGCGGTTGAAAACACTCTTAATTGTAAATGTTCATTATCAATATCTTCAGTACACCAAGTTCCCTCTAATTTCATTTTTCTTATTTCAAAATTTGACAATTTTATCATTTGGTATATTTTGCCCAGAAACGGCCGCCGCCTTTTGAGAGTAATTTCAATTTACTGCCTTTTCACCATAAAATTTAGGTTAAGTTAAGGAATTAGTTTACTGCTGCCAACAGTTAAGCTACGCTGCCAAAATGGCCGGCGAATTTTTATTATATACCATAAAAGTCAATTCCCCGTTCACTAACAAATTTCAACTAGGTCGAAAGTTCATTTACCCTAAACAAGCATAACAATTAATATGATTCATATAATTAATCAGGACCAATAATTAGGACCCCAAAATTTGGAATTAGAAAGATTTTTGTATCGTGTCCCTTGTTGTTAAGCTAAACTTAGCAAGATCCTAAGTAGGGGGTCTTCTGCTTTTTGGGTGGAAAATCTCTTTCGTTTACAAAATCCTAGGATGAGGGTCCTCCAAAAAATTAAGGACCCCTTTCCTAGGATTTTGCTTTACGTGAGGACCCCCCCCTTAGGAAGGACCCCCCCCCCCCCCCCCTTAGGATCCGGGACACGATACAATACTACTTATAAGCTTTCAAAAACGATTCGGGGTTTTCATGATCTGATTTGTCGAGGAGTTGAAAATGTGACTGTTTTTCATTAAGTATGACCTATATATTACACACCGTCTCCAGCATACATCATTGATTTATTCGTTCGTGGTAGTTTAGCCATTACACGTGTTCAAATTTTAAGGAACCAAATCAGCAATTTAGTGTAGAGGATGTTAACTTCCTGTGTCGGGGTTGTGGTTTTATGATCAGACGGTCGCGACCCAATTTTTGATTTCCGGACTGCTGCGATTGAAATTGGATATATTGAGACCGCCGCGACCAACATTTGGAACTTCTAGACTTTGCGGACCGAGGCAATTTGCCCGCGACCGGCGCGACCAAAAAAAAGCTATCGGCATGACTGAAGAAAAATCAGCAGCAATTGGGGAAAAACAACTGGAGAAAAACATTTAGAAAGAGTTCGACGCAGTTGAAATAATCGACCGCCGCAACTTATTTTTCTACCGTCTTGACCGAGATGCGCTATTTCCAGAATTTTCCGCGACTTAAAACCCTGTCCAGACTATGAATTTTCGATGGCGGAATTAACATTTCCACGACCGACAAATTCAAAAAATTAGCATCGGAACTCGTGCCGGGTTGTCTTGGAATACTCAGCCAATCACAATCGAGTTTAAACATAGAGCTAAATTCTTAAGCATAGAGCAGTTTTGATTCGAAAAACTGAAGGATAGGCTACTAACTTAACCCATTTTGACTGGGATAGCTCAGCCAAAATGAAAATTCTTTAAGTATACTTAATGACCCTCGAAAAAGTGTACGCAATCATATTTATATAAGCAGTGGCGCAATCAAATGTATATTATCAGTGGCGGTTATTTTTAAAATCGAACTATTTCGCTTTCTGAGCGATCCTATTTTGACAATAATTTTGGGCGCCGCATGCAATTTTTTTTATATAAAAACAGGTCAAAAAAGGCGTTTTAGGCACTTTTTGGAAAAATTTGACCAAAAAATTGCGTATTTTTGCTGCGCTCCTCCCTCAAAATTATCCATATTGGCGCCAATGGCGCCTTTAAAAAATTTTTGAGTTTGATAAGTAAAAAAATGAATGGCTTAAAATTATAACAAAGGGGGGCTTTAGAAAAATTTGGCACCCAGAATTGGGTGGAGGGGGTCGAAACCCGACGCCCCCTGAGCACGTTACTGTATAAAAGTAATCTACACTGCAGCCCCCTCTCTCTCTCCATGTAGGTATGCCTGTGAGGAGGACAGAGTGTGAGTATGTGTACAAGAAGGAGAAGGTGAAGGGGGCGAGAGAGCAGAGCGAAGCGAGAGTGATGCAGACTGCCAATGCACTCTTGGACTTCCTCCCTGTCCAACAAGCAGCCACTTTCTACAACAGACACTACTTCTGCAAAAACTCCAAATACTCACACAGGGTAACAGCAACTACAAAACACTTCTTATTCTTAGTTCAACTTTTTTGACGTACCATAAATGGGCATGTTTCGACTCATTTCAGCTTGAGTCATATGTTTTCTCGACAATTGATTTATAATTGGCATTTGCCTCAATTTTGATAGCTGAAATACAGGTCGAGTTCCTCGATCCAATAACAAAAAGGTGTGTATTTAAGATTCAGATATTCAGTTTTTAAAAATTTGCTTTGGTTTTTTTTATAGAAAAAAGCACTAACAATTTTGATTTCCAAAACCAAAACAAACTCTGTTGTGAGATTTGAGCTTGCCTTCTCAAAAATATCTGATAACAGGATAAGGTTTGCTTTCAAGTTGATGAAAGTTAAAAAAAAACCTCAAATGATCAATATTTTTTTAAACCATTATTCACCTCAAAAGGCGATTGTTTCAAATAAACAATTGAACCTCACTTCACTCCCTAAAGTTTGTAAGAAAAAAAAACGAAAGGGCAACAGAATACATTAAGTTTGGTTAATTTTTCAATGTTTCTTTTAAAACTTTTCTTCTTTGGAAATATTGTTTTAAGTTTTTTAATTGAATTACTATTGAAAAAAATCCAAATTATAAAATATCTTGTGGTAATCGCACACGTTCTGTTTAAAACAAAGTTTTGTTTGTAACTCATTTCAAGATTTACCAAATAAAGCTTTGCTCCGGAATGAAAAAAAATATTTAAAAAAATAGAAAATAAAACATTTTTCACCAATCTTCACGCATTTTATTCCCCAAAATTATGTTCTCAGCTTACCCCCTCAAAATTTGAAAAAGCAAATAAACCTCGAAAATTACAAAATTTTGTCAATTTTGGTTGTGCTAATGCCTGCTCTATTAAAGTTGTTTTTGTATGGAAATATCGTTTCCATAAATAGCGCCATTTATGGTCCGACGTTTGGTTTGCATGGTGAAAAGAAAAGAATCTAATAAAAGCGTTTCGTGTACTAAAGATACTTTTTCTCAGTAACTTTTTCATTTAACTTCTATTTTCTTGGTTTTCCAGTGAAAAAAAATTGTGAAAAATCTCTTCCATACGTAGCACCATATATGTTGCGACGTATGATATGCATGGTGAAAATGTTTTGATATCTTAACAACAGTTTTCATAAGGAGGATAAACCATTTTTTCACTATTTTAATCGGTTCAAAAGCTATTTTGAGGGTTTATGAAACAAATGCATGTGCCACGTATGATTGGTCATTTTCCATACAAATCATGCATGGATGTGTATGGTTGCGCATTATCTTCCATGGTGGGCACCCCGGGAATTTTGTCAAAAACGGCTTGCTTTTGTGTGTACATTAGTGTGGCTATCGGAGAAAGAGAGAATGGAAAAAGTTGGAGTAAGACGACAGAAAAATTAAGTTAAATGGAGAACACCAAAATTGAACCGTGAAAAAGTCGAAAAAACACAATGGAAAAAGATTTCATAGAAATCGGTCGTTGTCACAAAAACGTTCTTCAAAATTTCTTCTGTCCATGTTTGCCTTGTTTGGTTTCCCTAACTTGTTTCTTCAGACTATCTTTTTGTTATCAGACCACGTGGCCCCATTTTTTCCAAAAAAAATCAGAAAGGGAGGAAAAATAGCGAGTTGCTGACCCTATGGAATGATTGGTCCACGTAATCAAGACCCACTGACTTGAAAGTTACAGTTTATATCAAACTATGCTCTGAAATTATTAAATTTTTAAATTGAAATCCAAGAAAATATTCCAAGCTGAATTTTTGAGAAAGAATTAGGTTTCGTTTCATAAGCCCCCAATTTCTGATTGAAACGAGTTTCTCAGTTTCATTATAGTTTTAATACAAATTTTGAGATTGTTAAGCAGATCCGTTTTTTTTGAACAGGTGATGCACAAGGGAGCCATGTTTAACTTCAACTACTGCCCCTGTAAATGCTCCAACTTAGTGCTGGAGAAAAAGATATTCGGAGAGAACGGATATCAGTTAGCTGAGCTCAACATTAAGCCACGAGAAACATGCACGAAATCCAAAACGGAGAACAACAAACAAGACGAGATGGAGCACAAAAACAAACAAGATGAAAAAGTAAATAACAACAAGCCAGCTAAAAGAAAAGGTGGAGCTCCTTTTATAAATGAACAATCAACCCATACATTGTCTCAAACTTCACTGACCTTCAGTGACCCAACCAGTTCGAAAGGCAGTCTAACTGCAGATGAGTCACCAGGGCGTCCGAAAACTCAAATGAGGTCAAGGTCAAGGTCACGATCTAGAGGTCAAAGTCAAGTTGAACAGGACGACCAGGATTATTCGAGTGAAGGGAGTTTAGACAGTGAAGATCAAAGAAAAAACGAAAAAGAAACTCCAAAAAATATAAATCTTGATTCCGATTCATGCCAATCTTTGGATAGCACGTATTGATTGAGAATATATTTTGGTAATTTACTTTGGAATTTACAATGGTAAAATCGATTAAAAAATACACAATTAAAAGCTTTAAAATCTTCAAATTGATCAGTTATTCAGCTATATTGTAATCAATTGCACGGGTGTATCGGCTCGTGCTGCGTTGATATAAGGCTGGTTTCAATTTTTTATTGCAAAAACGCGTTTTTTAAAACTCAAAAAGGAATTTCTTTACGATTTTTTTCGGCTCATGAATTACATGTTCCGTTAAACTCTTCGTGTTTATTCAACATTTATTCATGCATGGCAGTTTTTTTCAGTAGAATAGGGCATGACCAAAGCAACAAATTGGATCACTGATATCTCTTATTGCTACATGTCCAAACTGAACCCCCCCAAGGGGAAATATCGATCAAGGGATGTGACTCACACGAATCTGAAAAATTTAGGATTTCAAAAACAAACATTTCAACGATGTTCTGCAAAACCCCATTTTTGTCGATTGTCTTGATTATTTTGATTAAAAAATTGAACGCCAGTATTTTGTAGAATCTGGAGTGGATCATCAGCAAGAAAGTTTGCTAAAAAAGCGAGTAAAAGATACCTTATAGGTCTTGCCTGCACAAAAAAACACAGGCTGGCAACTGCTTTGGCGCTACTTCTCCATTAAGCAGATTCATTTAAAAAGTTCAAGTTTTCAAAATGACTATGAGAAGCGGTCTCACGTAGGCTGAGCTAAATTTGTGGCTTTCGGAGCTTAGATTTGAAAAAAACACTAGCAAGGCCTCGTCCAATAATCAATTGGCTCGCAAAAAAATCGTTGTTGTTCTGATCAAGCTATCCAAGCAATAAAATTTTGAACCATTTCAAGTAAAGCCATATCGTAAATCGGTTTAAACAACTTTAAGTTTCGTAGAACGAATCGGTTCCCGAAAAATTGAAAAGTTTCTAAGCAAGCCTTTCAAACTAAGAAACTTTAAAATAATTCAAAATGTTTGATGAAAAAAATCGGATGGCGAAATTTTAGGCTTTTTTATGGAAGCTATTTAAGCAACGAAACATTGAATTAATTCAAGTTGTTTCGTAGGGCAAATCGATTTGCAAAAATTGAAGTTTTTCTGGGCAAGCTTTTAACTTTGAAAATTTTCAATTGATTTCATCGACTGAAGCAGTTCGCAAAAAAATTAAGTTTTTCTTAACCAGCAGTTTCAGCTTTTATAAAAAAATCAGTTTACAAAAAACTGAAATTTAGCTTTTTTACTAAATCAAACTATTAGAGTTATGCAACTGTGAAATTTTTCAAGTTAATTCATAATTTTTCCTATGAAACCTATAATTTTTCCTTTAAAACCTATAATTTTTCGAGTCATTTCAAGTTTTTTCACAAACCGAATCGTTTTGTGAAAAGCTTAAGTTTATCTAGGCAAGATATAAAAGCACAGAAAATTTTAAATAATTCAAGTTATTTCAAAAGTCAAATCAGCTAACGAAAAACTTGTTTTCAAAAAGTTTTCAAAAATTTTGCTTAAAAATACAAGTTTTTTGCAAAACGATTCGATCTGTGAGATAACTTGATATAATTTAACGTTTTTCTGAGCACGCTATGAATATTTAAAAAATTCCGAATTGTTTCATTGAGCAAATCGACAGGCAAGGATTTTCAGTTTTTCTAAGCAAGCTCTTCAAAGTCTGAAACTTTAAACTTTTGAAGTTACCTCATTGATCAAAATTTCTTGCAAAATTTAAAGTTTTTGTAAGCAGGCTGTTCAAACTGAAAACATTGACTTATTCCATAAAATTTCGTTATTCCATAAAAAGACCGAATCGTTTTGCGAAAAAGTTCAAATCCTCTAAGCATGCAGCTAAAGCTATGAAACTTTGAAAAATTCAACTTATATCATAGACTGAAGCATATCGCATAAAATTAGTTTTTTTTGAAGCAGGCTTTTTGAACTAGAAATTTTAAAATAATCCAAGTTGTTTTATAAAACGATTTAGTTTGCAAAAAGCCTAATTTTTGCTGAAAAAACTATTCGAGTTTTGCTACTAATAAGTATTTCAAGTTATATATAACCAAATCAGTTCGCAAAAAGCCTTAGATTGTTTGAAGCAAGCTATTCCAGCTATGAAACTTTCAAGTAAGGTCATAAACTGAAACGTTTCGTAAAAAGTTGAAATTTTTCTAAGTAAGTTTTTGGATAAACGTTTGGACTATTCCAAGTTATTGCACATACCTAATCGTTTTGTGAAAAGCCTGAATTTATCTAAGCGATATATTAAAAAGCAGTAAATATTAAGTTTTTCAAAATATTTCGAGGTGCAAATCGGTTTGCCAAAGTTGCTTAAAAAACTTACAAAAGTTAAGACTTTCGCAAAACGATACTGAGTATGAAATAGCTTGAAATTTTTCAAAGTTTTTGTGAGGAAGCTATTCATGTGATGAAAGTTTGAAACCTGTCAAGTTGTTTCATAGAGAAAATCGACTGGTGAGAAGTTTCATTTTCTTAAACAAGCTATTGAGACAATGAAATTTTTATTTGCTTCAAGCTTTCAGAGCAAATTGATTAGCGAAAACTTATATTTTTCTAAGAAAGCTATACAACTGATGAGCAAATTGATTAGCGAAAACTTATATTTTTCTAAGAAAGCTATACAACTGATGAAATTCTGAAATTTCTAAAAACGTTTCATTTGCAAATAGCTAGTTTGTCTAGCAAGGAGTTTGCTGTTTTTAGTCGGTTCGTTTCAGATTGAATTCAATCTGAGCAGGCAAAATTTCAAAAAAATGTACAGGCATTGGGTAGCCTTGACAATGAATTGAAATAATCTTATCTAAAGATTTCAATTCTTGTCAAAAACCTCCAGAAAATTCCAGATCTAGAATAACGTCAAAGTTCTAGAAAATAAACGCTTTACTCCTAAATGTTGAGACTTTAGAATTTTCTCAAACTTCGCATTCTGATTTTCATTTAATTTTTAAGATGATGAAAATTGAGTCAATTTTGTTTGCTCTTCTATTGTTCCAACAGCCGCCTGCATAAATTTTATACTTAATTTTCATTAAAAACGCCGCGTACAAAGCAGAGCGCCCATGAATTCTAATCGATTAAAATGGGTTTCCGAGGCGAAAATTATCCATTATAATCCATTACAACTCAGAGAATTGAATAAATTATATTTCCATTATAATTGATAATATTGAATCAAACTAATCCATTATGATCAATTACAGATGTAATATTTGGTCCACAAATAATCCATTGAGTTGGGCTACTCGCTAAACTGTCTCAAGATACGATACTCTTTCCCAACCTGTCTTCCATCGGTCTGACTGGGAAGAAAGGAGGTCTTGGAGGTGGATCAAAAGTAAACTGACCAGTTTCGAGCAAATCCGACTCTAGATTATTGATATGCCCATGAAAGACTTTACTCAAACACTCCACGCCTATAGGTCGATCAAATTGGATGGCATCAGAGGAGCATCGACCCGGTAGTGAATCTCAACGGCAGAATACTGCTCCTTTGGATCTCTTGTATTACTCCATTTATAAGACGCACCCTCTTGTTCATACTCACCCCATTCACATCCTGCATCAAACTGTATTGCCAATTTTGTAGGATCCAAGCAGATCCTCATCTCCTGCAAAAAGCAGCTCTCCTACTCCGGCATCATCGTCATTTTCTTTGGTTCGCCTCTAGAAACAACATTCGTGCCTATCATCATGGTGACGGTGTGGTTCTTCCTCACCTCTAGCATCTCCAGAGAAGCCAACATTTGAGTCATTGCTGCACCTGAGAAACTCAAGACACCCATTTACCAGTGCTCTTGGACTCTCGCGAGAACCCTAACCAGCCTGTCTCCTATCATCAGGAGGACCGCGCCTCAGGTATGCTTGGTTTTGTCAGTTAATCAACCGGGGCCACCTCGTTGAAGGTCGCCCTCCTTACCAACTGGGCGCTTGTCCAGTTCTCCCTGTGGTGTCGGTGGTACCTCCCACTTACGTCCTCCTAGTAGTTCGAGATGATTGCACCCCTCGCCGATTGCTTCCTCTAGGCGGACGGCTCCCGTTCCGATACGGGGTTTTCGGGGGTTCTCGAGTTTAGTCTATCTTGTAACTTCTTGGGACGGGAAACTCCGGAGCTAATTTGGCTACCACCAGTCGATCAGGGCGTAAGGTCAGGTAGTGCCACGTCCACTGCTAGAGGTTTGGTTCGACTCAACTTCAGATCTCTCAAGGACGGCGTGGGTTCCGGAGGTGTCCACGTCTCTACATCTTCGCTCATCTGCTCCTTAGCTACTCGATCGAGATTAAAGCAAATATTCGCTCTGGGTGTCTTGTCCACTTCCATCTTCGATTCCGGCCTTAACTGAGCCATCAGTGGTTCACTCGGCGTCTTCACTTTTCGCTCCTTACTCTTTTCAGACTCTTGTTGCAGCCTCTTCACTTGCTCGAGTTCTGACTGAAGCCGGTCCCGCAGCCTATTGCATTTTCTCGACTGGCTCAAAATGTGACTTTAGCTGGTCGCGGGTTGCCGTTGTCTCCTGCTGCTTTCTGGTCTGCTGCAGCTCGGCTGTCAATGGGTCCCTCTCTAGGACGTCTTGATCCCTATCACGAATGACTTGATCCCGTTAGTTTTGGGTCTTTTCCAATTCCCTTTTTAACCTGCTGGTGTCTGGATATGCTTCTTCCAATTGTTGAGATCGAATCATCGACGTGGGTTTGCTGTTGTCGGAACCCCCATCCTCATGGCTGGCCTGGTAGGGAGAGGAAACTCGCCAGCACCATAATCCGTGGTGTTGCTCAAGCCGGGATTTATTGCCACGTCGAAGTCTCGCAAGCACCCGTCGGTGCTCCATGTTAGCCATCTGGTTTACGCCGGATTTGAGATTCCATCAGACGTGTTTCCCACCATCAGCACAGTTTCCACTCCGGACTCCCTCTCTTCTCCTTGCGATTCCAGCTGCAAGATGGCATTTGACATCACCGCCATCCTCTCGTTCACCTGGGAATTGTCTAGCACACTCATACACCTGTAAAAATTGTC